GTATTAACTTTTTTAATCTAATATATCTTTCACAACGTCACGCTCACCATTATGCTATAAAACACTGAGAGAACAAGCACAGAGTTTAACAAATAAAGACAATATAACCAATACAGATACTGTTTAAACAAGCATGTTTTTCAGTTTACTATAGACGTACTCTGAGGGAGCGACAGGACAGTGACATAAATCAGCTCAGCATATTGTTCTTCTGCGTGCAGCGAACCAATCAGGCTGCCTGGTTGAAGGGCTCATTTGCATAAACTACCCGCCATGCAACACAAAGGTGAAATAAGGTCGATGAAGGGGATCAGAGCGGGTCAGGTGTGTGTCTGCTTCTGTTTAACCTCAACATGAAGTGCCACACTCAGCTGAGTGGACATGCAAATGTTGGGCACATACAGAAGGTAGAACACAAATCCGCCCAGTGGGAGCGCGGCGCTCCCTTCTTTTCTGTTTTGTTTCAACTTCACAAGCAGCAATGTGCAGATATGTCTTTCATGAGTTCATTACATATATAATATTGGTAATAAAAATACCCTTGCAGTGTGGAAGCAGCAAGCAGAGAGCGGAGTGGACGGGCTGGGGTGTAAGGTTTAACCATGTCCTGGATGTAGACTGGGCCCGTTCACTGCACAGTACGCAAGTACTAGTATTTTGAAATGGATACAGGCAGCCACTGGTAACCAGTGAAGGGAGCGGAGCAGTGAAAGAGAACTTAGGTAGGTTGAAGACCAGTCGAGCTGCAGTGGTCGAATGGAACAGTTTTACATTCACACATTCACACACACATTCATACAGTGCATCTATGTGCAGCACTTTCTCTATGAGCAGCGTTTAGTATCTTTCCCCAGGACACTTCACCATGTGAACTATATATAGACTGGGATCGAACAAGTGACCTCCTGGTTAGAGGACGACCGTCATTTTGTATTGTCCAGACCTGCTGCATAATATATTCAAGATGTGTTGCAGTTTCTAATGAGACACCAGAGGCTGTTGTACTCGTCTGTCTTTCCCTGTCTATGCCAGCACAACTTTCAATTAACTTTAAGTTATTGATACGGTAACAGGTTAAAACACTTTTTTTAATGTATGTATTTATGAATATATATGTATGAATGTGTATTTATGAATATATATTTATGACCTCAATTTAACCTCTATCTCTTAATCTCTTGGGCTCTCTGAACTTTTGCATGGGGCTTTTTTTCCCACTAAAATTGTATAAAAAACAATACACCGAATCTTGCTTGGGGGTGTCCACCACAAGTAAAAGTACAATAATATAGTGCCCATTAATATAGTACCCTGAGAACTTCTGATTAGTGTTGGTGTACATTGTAAAGTGAGTGCAGTTCAGTGGGCGAGTGTGGAGGGAGGACACTCCTACAGGATTACTGGACATGAGATGACTGGGCCCATAATGTGCATCTGCCCTGATCCTGAAACAGCAGCAGAAATAATTATGCAGTGATGGATCAAAAATGAATGCAGAAGAAGTGATTTATGCTCTGTCACTGCATTATGATGCGTCTTAGAATGAAGAGGTTACCACACATCTGAATTTGTGTACAAAGGGTTGTCATCAACTGTTCTTTGGTCAAGGTGCAGTGTACCTACCAGAACAGTAGAGGGCACTCTGAAACAGGATATGTTATGATGAATGGCAAGAGAAAATGGACCACAAGGCAGAGGACCATAAAGTTCCTGCTGTTTTAAACCTTCAAATAAAGATCTGTGTGTTTAGTCGCCAAGTTATATGTAATATTTAGGTTTATTTCAAATAATGAAACAATTAATTGTTGGTATAGTAAAGTTGGTGTTTTCCTTTTTTAGAACTTTATGGTTTTTGAATCATGAGCGAGTTTGTGTATCGTGTCATGTTTCACTACCCTGCAGAGAAGCATAATTGCTGGGATGTCTGATTAGAAGAAGGGTGGTGTAGAGATTCACAGGAGTGGAGTGTTCAATCAAGTCAGTGGTCTCATTAAGCAGATGAGCTGGAAGCCTGTCGTCACCCTGTGAGCACTCTGGTAAATGAAGTTTCTCATGCTGTCTGTACATGTTAAAGTGATTTTAGTTGACATTTTGTTTAACTTTTACACCAAAGTGAGTAAAAATTTTTGCAATAGAAAACTGTAGTGATGTACTACTCATACTAATAACCATAATCATCAGTATATCACTCCATCTCGTCAATGCAGTTTG